CAGAAAGTCTCCCTACAGTTCTGCTCGGGCTCCATTCCACGTTTAAACCCGACGTCAGGGGCACTTGCTCAGAAATGGTATATGGAACCACTCTACGTTTACCCGCCGACTTCATACAACCAACAGATAATAACTCCCTTGAGCCACCCATCTTTCTTCAGCGCCTCCGCAATATTATGAACAATTTTTCTCCAGTCCAAACGTCCGCACATGACAAAATTATCACCTTTCTATATCCCTCAATAATGGAATGCTCCCACGTATTTGTTAGAAACGATTCTGTGAAAAAACCCCTACAAGCTCCCTACGATGGCCCTTATCAAGTCCTTACACGATCCAATAAACATTTCACCATACTAATAAAAGGCAGAGAAGCTGTCATCAGCATAGATCGACTCAAACCAGCATTCATCGATACAACTGCAAATGATACATCCACTCCACCGGTCAACAACACAAGTAATCCTGTCACACCGACGCAAGCACCAACCACCACGACCCGGTCAGGACGTCACGTCCGATTCAACCCCCGGTACCTCTGATCCCTATATTGTTGTCACTGGGGGGAGCACTGTGGCGCCCATCGGCTACGGGCCGATTCTGACGATAGAGGGCGCAAGAAAAGAAAAACGCGAACTTTGAACTGATCACGCACTTTCCGACCAACAACGACTAGGAACGGACGTGAGAACAAGCGGTCAGCAAAAAACAACTTTGACCTTCGATCGATGTCGGGCTGTAAATATATTGTGTTGTACATAACTGTATATATTCATAAATAAAGAAGGAGATATTAAATTCCAACTGGACTTATTCTCTTCAACATCGAGCGAAATACGAACTCCAAAGGTTGTTACCGAAGTTTGAAACATTACCAACTGTAAATTTTAAATGCTTAGTACTTTTTAATTTCCATGCTATAATGTCACAAAATGACATTGTACTCCTGCTGTACTTACTTACAATTTTTATTTCAACAGTGAGTGGTCCTGTGCTTAGCATTGTGACAGATTTTTTCTGATCATGGGAACAAACCATAAATATTATTCAAAACTAATCAATTTTTAACAAAATTATTTTTCATAATGGAACCTATTCAAAATGTGCCCTGTAACTTAAAAACAAGAACCACCCTGGTGCACAAACATCCTCTTAGATTATTTTCTAACATTCCTGCAAACTTTTTTAATCTAAAAGTGGGTGCTGCTGTCCTCAATAATAGACCACAGAACTTTGTTGTGATGTACTCAAACAGGCATGGAAAAACACACACTGGCATATTCTTACAAATTAATTTAGCCATGATATGAAACCCTACTATACATAGTGCTTTCATGAATAAAGGAAGAAATGACAATCAACTAAGTTTGTCAACTCCTAATTCCAGCTGACCTGATGTTGTAATCAAGAAGAAAAAATCCAGCAATGAGTTGCTTAAATTTCCTGGAAACATTTAAAACTGCATGTAGCACAATCTGTTATACTACAATACTGTTATACTCGAGACACCCCCTAGTGGGCATTCTTTACAAATTTCCATGAGGCACGGTTCTTTCACTTTTTTGTTCCTATCAATATGCTCTACAGCTCTGTTAAAATCCAAATGGTAAGATTTACCCTCAGGAATGAAGAGGTGGCGACCCCCCAAACCATAGACCCCTGTACTAACAATAAAGTCAAAGGAACTATACCCCTACTCACGACCCTTTGAGAGATATAAGCCCCTGAAATAATAAATTCCTATTACAAATATACTGAATTATTTATATTGTTATAGTGACCAAATAATAATTTATTGGCCAAATGAATAATAAAAATTTATATTGTTAATTTAAATAAGAATTAAAATTGTTAATTTGAATGTTTGAAATATGACACACGATAGGGGCGCCTCTAGTGTCCGTTATCAAACGGTTACGGGACGGACACCCATTGAATGGGTTATATATATAGATGGGGAGTTTGTTTTCACGACTCCAGTCAAAAATTTTTTCCAATTGATTGTTTGTAATTGCCTCCAGTTTGTCAATATTTTGATGGGTCACCATTAACAGGAGGTCATCTGCAAAAGCTTGAATAGTGGTATTTTGATTCTCTTCCATTAGGTTTAGTAGATCATCACAGACCAGATTCCAGAGCCCAGGGCCGCTTTGCGAACCCTGAGGGCAAGCTCTATTAGTGTGCCTGGTGATGGTGAAGCTATTTGCATTATATTTAATACTTCTGTTATTCAGGTAGTCCTGTGTAAGATAGAAAATATTTGCAGGGCAATTTGTCTCTCGTAGCCTGTTTAAAATGCTCGGCCACCACAGGTGGTCAAAAGCCTTGTGAAAGTCAATTTTTACTAATAGAGTATGTTTATTATCATTCCAGCCCTCATGTATAACTTNGCACATAGTGCTATATGCAAATTGTCGGATCAGTCGACGAGGTGGCAAAAAAAGACTTTTGAAATTTGTAAGTTTTAGTTTTTTAAAATCTGCAGAGTTTATCTTGTTTATGTGATAAAATGTAGAAAAGGTTTTGTTTTTAACCTGTATAGTTAAAATTGTGATAAAAAATTGATATTGAAAATGTTAAAAAAACCTAAGTGTAGTCTGATTTCTACTGTATGTGCAGTGTCCATGCTGAAATGAGGTATGGTTTACAAAGAATTTATGTGAGTTTTTTGGTTTTTATTTGTGTCCTGTTAAATATTTTTATATATATTTAGTTAGCTGAAGAGGGGCTGATGCCTGAAACGTTGATGTATGAAAAAAACGTTCTAACTAAATAAAAGATTCAACTAGCCCAGTGTTGAGAAAAACATCACTTCATTGTGCCAGTACACAACAAAAATCTATTAATTAAAAAAATTAAACAATTGGAGGTCGTTTTTGATATCAGAAAGTAGCTTTAAATAACTTTACCGAAGTGAAATCCATGCACTACAACTTTAGAACAATTAATTAAATTTGATAAAAAAATCACATTATTAATTAAAAAACAATTAAGTGTTAATCGCGCGTCATTAAAGGTTAATTAAAATCGCGATAAAATTTTTTTGCGCGGGTAAGAACTTTTGAAAAAATTTGGAGACTTAAAAAACATTCCAAAAATTCAAAAAAAATTTTTTTTGTTAAAAGTAGCCTTAATTAATTTAATTTAACCTTTAGTTCTTCGCCCGAGTTAACTCGGGTATGTTACATAGCCTTACATAAAACTCGATTCTTTCGGCCCCCAAAACATTTTTGTTTTTTTTTGTAAACAATGACTCATCGATGTCAAATTTCGCAGAAAGGCGAGACAAAGGAAAATAAAGTTTGAAGCTTTTTCTTCAAAATTAACGCATTTCTTTCGTTTTTTTCAGTTTTAAGTATTTTTTATGTTTAATTACATTAATATCAAAAATTGCTGGGAACTTAAAAGGTGTTAAGGACCGAGTTTTTTGTAACCCTATGTAACTTGCCCGAGATATCTCAGGCTTGGGGCTTAAGGGGTGGAAGCCATTCCTGAAATACAGGGAAAGGTCAGCTGTAGAATATTGGACAATTTTAACAAAAATCGACGATCGATTTTTGTTAAAATTCAGATCATTACATGTTCTTATTTATTGTTCTATTGAATAATCAGTAAATATGATACTGTTTTCTAATGATACATTGCTACACGATCAAGAAAGATCTAGAACAATGGTATTCAAGCATTTTAATAGTGCAACCCCAAGGTAATTTTCCATGAACCCATTTGGGGTCGCAACCCATAGATTGAATACCACTGATCTAGAACATCTTCCAAGAATGAGCATGAGACTATTTTCAAACATCACTACACAAGGTATTTATCGCCATGCAAATCTCCTGTAAACTCTCTCTCTCTCTCACAACCACTTTTGTTTAAAGATCCCTTGAAATTAAGGCCTAACAAACTCTCAATCCATCTCCACCCCGAATCTGATCGCCTGCACACATGGCCACTCGAGTGACCTATGTCAAATCCGAATCAACATGCCATCTTGGCTTCTGTGTCAAACGAGACACAGTGGTGTCAGTCCCGATGAGGCACTGAAGAGGTGCCAACCCTCCAGTCACAAATAGAAACCAATATAAGTACAGTAAAATTAAGTGACAATGAATTTTAACATTTCCAAGTGTGTGATATAGAGCTCCAAGACATGAAAAAGTGGAAAAAATTGAATACTGTTACCAACTGCCTGAGTGATCTTGTTATTTCAGATAAGAGAGCATAATGTAGCATTCTTGAAGGTACTGTCTTAAGCAGACTCAACTGTAGTAGTTTTTTTCTTACTAAATTCTAGGGACAATTTTGGTTAATTGAAAATTTATTTTATTTGATCATCATCTGTCAGAAGATCTCAGAAAATTGTTCCAAAACTAAAGCAACCAATCTCAATTCATTTAAAGCACTTTAAGAAAATTATGCATTCCCAAAATAAACATATTATTCTATTGACCACAGCATAATGGTTATATAAGTGAGGTGGTCACAAATAGAAAGTATAGTAAAATCTTGTCTTAATTTTTCCATGTTTATGTTAGCATTTATAATTGTTATTAATAAAATTTATTATTATTTGATAAATAAAAGAAACAGAGCAGTGTGTTGAAAAATTTTGTCATTTAGTGGCCATTTGGTATTTTTATATTTATAAAGATTAGGAGTTTCTGTTCTCAGTATTCTGTCTTACTTTCTTACTTATTTTATAATTACATTCACAGTGAATTACTAACAGAAATAAAATAATTTTCTTTTTTTTGTAATGTTTGACACAATATATTTTAAACTGTATACATGTAAGTGTCATGCTTTCAATGGTCATTCAGGAAGTATGAGATAAACAATGGTGCATATTGTGAAGATGTTTTTGTGATATATATGCAGTGTGGTTATCCATACTAAATTTTATATATATATATATATATAATTTTTTTGTGTCCTGAAATACAACCTTTATAACAAATTATTCTGAAAAGAAACACCATGATTCACTTTAAATAATAGATTAAAAATTTATTATTGAATACCTTCATAGTATCTTTTTCAGAGAATTTAATGCCATTTTGGCAGCAGCTTTTTTTGCAACAGTTTTGTTTGCACCAAAACCTTCAAACTCAATATTTCCATTAACAGTTACTGTCACTTTAACACTTCCATCATCCATTGGTTTGGGTTTTCTGTAATAAAATACTTTATATTATTCTTATGAACAAATTAATAAAAATAAAATCTACATAAAATACTAACAGATTTAACCAAATAATAATTTATACATTGGGTGATTGGTAATGAACAGTTTGGATAGCAAACACTTTTGTGAAAGATTTTTATGATCGGACAATGAACACTTTACTGAATAAACATAAAAAGAAGAGATACAAAATAATGAATACTGATTGATTTTCCCTTGTCTTCAGGTAACAATTTGAAACCTTTCGCAGAGCGGGAGACATCAACATCGTTGCTCAACCTGATACCGATCAGATAGTATTCCTCTGAATTTTAAAACTCTGCCTTGTAATTCCAGTTTTTTGTTTACCTTTCTGACAAATAATTTTTTATAGTCTTTGCAAGAGTGTCAGACGGGCACTTGTTAAGTTTTGCGTCAGGGTTTATTTACAAAAGGCAAAAGTTTAACTGTCCCATCTAGGGTTTCTCAAATGAGATCCCAGGATCTGGTTGTTTTTTTAACCCGGGAAATCCCACAAATTTCTTAAAAGTTCACTATTTTGTGTTAAGGTTGAGGAAGTTTTGCAAATAGAAAGTATAATTAACTCATAAACTGTCAGAATACATTTGTATTTATTAATTTTAAACCTACTTATTAATTTTTTTAATTTTTCCTTGTTATGGCATATCACAAATGGTCAATAATCAATATGTAGATTATTTGTGGCATGACTCTGAAAATTCTTTACTTGTCAGAACCTGCAATATCTGGCATAATTTTACTTATGTTGCCTTAATTTTTAACCATGCCTGATAGCTTCGATAACTGCATAAAGCCAGGTTGTGCAAATTGGGCAAGGATACAAATGAGTACGAAGTCTGCAAGTATGAAGTTTTTCTTCATAAACCTGATTATTAAAGCCAAACGAATTTCAGAATTATTGGCCATAAGCTTGATGCTGCTATTAAATCAGTCAAGGTAGACAAATCAAGAATACTAGAGAGCGAAAGAAGCACTACAATCTCGAAATCTTCCAGGCTACAAGTGAAAAAACATAACATCTGTCTTCTCTTAAATGCATTAAAGACGATGCCACCCACATCAATTTTGAATCGAAAAGATCATTCTCGGTAGCAGGACTTCTTATTACTAAAATAAGAACCAGATTGAGTGATCAGAATATTGACCATCTTTGCTCTTTAAAATCTTAATACAAAATATTATTGTAAATTTTTGTAACATGCTTTATTTAAAAAACAGAAATTACCTTTTAAGTTAAAAGTTTGATTTAAGTTCATTTTTTAAAAAATTTTCAACTCAATTCAAAGCATTTATTTTTTGTGGTTATTGTATGCAGTTTCCAGCAAACTTTAATAAATTTTTTCTATTTGTGAAAATTTCTATGTAATTCAAAGGTAATTTTTAATATGTATCTTACACAGCATTATTAATATGATTTTGGAGGTTGCAGAGCATATTAAATTACTTTAAAAAATGAAAAATAATTATATCATTTGATTTCATGATATTTTGTATATCTTAAAAATAATTAATTCTGTCCTGGGATCCTGGGACAAGCAAAAGACCGGGAAATGAGAAACCCTAGTCCCATCGGATATTCATTAAGGTTTTAATACCAAATTTCAAATTTCATCTGGGCCTTGCATTTAAATAATTTTTTGTGGGCTAGTTGATTTCTGTTCTCTGAATTTTGGTCAGTGCTTTTCTGAACTTTTTATTTAAAAAAGAAACTGATAATATTATCGAGCCTAAAAAGAGGTGTGTCAAGAACTGTGCTCACCATAGAAACTGAGTAAGAGATAATAGCCAAGGTAGAAAGTGGGCATAAGATGTTTGATGTTGCTAGGCAATATGGCTTGAACAGGTCTACAGTAGGCACAATCTTAGCTATGAAAGATATATCAAGAAGTCTCAAGCTGCTAATGGAATAATGAAAATCACATCTGAGAAATAGAAATAAAGAGCATTTTAGAGCTCATATTGGAACCTGAAACTGATTTGACGACAGAACTCCAAGAACTCTCAAATGAAGAATACCAAGAAACTCAGCGAGATGTGTTTTCTTTTGAAAAAGAGGAAGACAAAAGAGGACCAATGTTGACATCTGCTACTAAAGATCTTTTGAACAATGATCATCCAAGTGGTATCCAAACCAGAATCAGATTAACGGAGTTGGGATCTCTACAATTACAATACTATTAACTAATTCCAAAAAATCCTGAAAGAGAAAAGCAATTGACATTGGACAGATTCTTTAACCCCCACAAACGGAAAAAACATGACTAATAAAGATGCAAGACTACATATATATGTATTTTTACTATTACATATAAATAAACATAGTAAAAAAGTATATAGTTTTTGGGGTCTCCAGAATGAATTAATCAAATTCCCATAAAAACCTATATCAATAATTGTTAACGAACAAAGTCTCGGAATGGATTATGTTCATTAACCCATTGTATAATACTAATAATAAAAAAAAAAGGCAGGCTTATACAACAAAACCTGCATGAGCTGGACTTCCCTAAGGTGAAAACTTAAAAGTCACAGAATTCAGAATTACTGGTATTTCATTCAATTTTTCATTCAAATTAATTGCTATATATGCTATTACTAATTGAAACCATATACTCAGGACAATGGATACCAAATTTGCTTGAAATTTGCCCACTACTTCATTTGACAGAGCTTTGAACATTAGTTTTTAATTATGATCACTCTGTATATTATATAATCCATACAAAATCAGATGTACATAACAAGATTTATGTAGAATTCCAAGAGACCACTAAAAATCCTCAGTACATTATTTTTGTAAAAACTGTAAACTATTGATACTTTATTGGTAGTGTTGATTTTGGCTTGAATGTTTTACAGTAGATCTGATTGGTATTCAATACAGAGTATAGGACCACACTACTAGGAATTTAAATTGCACAAATATTTTAAATATATATATAAACTAGTACTTACGAAAATTTAGTTTTAGGATATAATTCGTATAACTGTCTAACAAATGATTTTGGTATGTTATCACATATATCTGAAAAAGAACATAAATTAATTGAACATTTTAAAATACATCAATAATAGTAAATTTAGTAGCATGTATTAATGAGTTAAATTAATTTATCCAATTTATTATTTAATTTTATTGCATTTAAAACCCCCTTTTCACCTCTGACAACAAGTGTTTGGACAATATTTTAAAACTGCAATATCTTGCATGAAACTCTTAATAGTATTCATGTGCAGTTTTATTATTATTATTATGTTGGGTTTAGTGGGTTACTCGGTTCACACTGGTGGCTGTGTACTATGCCGGACCAGAGTCAAGGCATAGCAACCAAAAACAAAAATTAAATAAGTGTGTCTGTGTCTGTATTCAGGAATTTCCTAACAATGTGGCATGTATTCAATATAGTTGCCTTCTGTAGTGTGATGTATGTATTTCTATTCAATTGTAATGTTCCCAGGCTTTTGTGTAGTGTGATGTATGTACTTCTATTCAATTGTAATGTTCCCAGGCTTTTGTGTAGTGTGTGTGGTATCACACCTGTACAGGAGAGAATGACAGGTACAATAAGCACCCTATCCATCCTCCATAGATGCCTTATTTCCTGGGCGAGTTCTGTGTACTTGCTAATTTTTTCAGTGCATGTGTTTTGTACATTGTGAGTGTTTGGAATGGCTATGTCTATAATGTATTGACAAACACAAAATAAAATCACATGAGTGTGATGTCTGGTCTGTTGTGGTCTTTATCTGTAATTATGGCTCTGTCGTAGTACATGTTGTGTGTGTTGTTTTCCAATACTGTCTGTGGAATATACTTGTAGTATGGTTCGTGGATATCTACCAATTTGTGTTTGTTTGCAAGCTCTTGGTGTATTATATTTGCTACTTGATTGTGTCTATGTAAGTAATCTGTCTGTGCCAAGAGCTTGCAACCGGAAGTGATGTGTTGTATAGTTTCTGGCATGATGTGACATTTTCTGCATGTGTCACTTTACTGAGTTTAGAATCATCACAATGAAAGATCTTAGGCTGAGACATAAACCAACAAAGTTTGTTCCTCATTTTCTCATAGATCAGCAAAAACAAATCCATCTGGAAATCTCATAGAACAAGTTGGAAATGTTTGATACTGGTCCAAGTTGGGCTGACAATGTCATTAGAGAGGTTGCGGCGCAAGTTCAAACGTTACTTATACATTGCAAACAGAAGTACACGGTTTACGTTTTAACCCCAAGAAAAAATCGTTGTGGTGCACGTTCACAACATCATGTGACTCAGTGAACATTGCGCATCAACTAATGGGAAATTTGTTGAAAAAATGGCGGATACATTTGACATTGAGGGTTATCAGCGAAGGTAAATAAACAAATTAAACTACTTTAAAGTATTTATAGGATGTTTAATAACACTAAATAATTATTTTTAATTAGCGTGGTGCCGTACAATCGGATGATAGGACTACCTCATACCTTTGTCGAGGGAAGTAGTGGCTTATGTAAATTCAGAAAATTAATTTTTAGAAAATTTACAAACGTATTAAGCTATCGATGGTAGAAAATGCCTACCTTAAGATAGGCTATTATGAAGACAAATATATGTAAATTCTATAGGCACTTCGCATTGCTCGCTAAAAAATTGAATAATTAAATAATTTCTGGATTAAAATCATCTGTATCTTTACAATATTATTCATAAATGCTTAAATAATCATTATTTTAATAAAATAGGTCATAATTTTAACCCCAAACACAAAAAAATAAAGACGTTTAAACCGATCTTCTACTTGCCAAGCTAGACGTAGCGAACGCCATTATCGACCATCTAGAATTGCCAGATGGCGGCACTCAACCGTCCGCCGTTCATGTTTTGGGCTGAATATGATGGTCGTAACCTCTCTATTATTGGCAGTGAAACTTGAGTGTACAGCTTTGATAGTTAAATAAAGAGAGTGGAGAGAAACAGCCAAAATTCCAACATTAAAATATTGCTAGTGACATTTTTGGATATGAAGGAGATTGTCCATTATGAATTTATTCTTGCCATCATGTTTAATTTAATGTTTTATGGTGTCATTAAATAAACTATATTCTTCACACCAATAATTATATATGAAATAAACAAAACTGTCTTTCAACATCAAAACAATGATGTATTAACTCTATTAACATTAAAGTGCTAATCACTAAAGTGATAATTTACTATTAACTATATTTTCATAGTGATAATAAAAACAAGTACTTTCAACATTGCATAGACGTCTTCCTCAGGTAGATTAATTGAAATACAGTAGAGAGTTGTTTATCCAAATCAATTGGGGTTGTTCAGATAAGTTATTTTTCGGATAACCAATCATGTATGAAAAAAATATTAATCTATCCCATGTTGAAATTTTTCTCCGTTGCGTGTCGTTTTGCGTTGAATTTTCATTGATGTTAAGCCTAACATAAATTTTTAAAAATAATAATCATGACTATTGTATTGTTAAAAATTATTTCTTTATTTTGTACAAACAAAATAAATATATTGAAAAATATAAAAACAAAAAAAATTTTTTGGAAGTTAATCTAGTATAAAAAATGTTCAATTCAGCACAACACAGTCCAACTGGAACACTTTCAATTGATTGGTTTTCGGATAAACAACGCTCTACTGTATATTGAAAATATAGTATACTAATATTTATGTTCAAATTTTGATATTTACAAATTTAATTGTGCTCTTTTAGCAAATCGAATTTTACATTAGTTTTAGTTAGTATTAGTTTTAAATTAAAAAGTTTTAAAACATTCTAATCTTCCTGAGGAAGATGTCTATGTGACATTGAAAGTACTTGTTTTCATTATCACTAAAGTGATAACTGTATTAACATTAAAATTTTACAGTAATTTTTCTAAGCAATTCATCTGAAATGGCATAAAAAATAACAAAAAAAAAAAAAAAAATGGATAATCCAATGTATTGTGAAAAATGCTGGTAAGCTAAGATATTTGTTAGGAAGAAATTGTTATGTTTGTATTTAAATATATTTCACTAATAAAACTATTTTAGTTAATATATTATTTCTTTTCATTTATATTTATTTGAAATGCGAAAACAATGTTTATATTAATTAATAAATTAATAATTTACTAAAATAGTTCCAAAATATTACCAAAACTTGATTTCATCATTGGATAATAAACATCCCACACAGTTTCTAAAGACATTCCACTGTCAATATATATAGCCCCAGCCACTGATTCAAATATATCAGATAAAGGTTTTGGTACTTCAATTTCATATATATCATCCATTTGTTCCGTTTCATTAAGAAAATCCTAAAACATTAATAAAATTTATCAAAAAAGAAATATGAGAAATATTATTATTAAATTACTATGGTTACCTGAATATTTTCACTTTCCATAACTTTTGTTACAAATCTATCAATGACCTTAAAAAGGTTCTCTGAATTACTTTGAAGATATTTATGAAATTTCTGTTTCACAGCCAATACTGCAAAAGTACGATTATTGACAAGAGCTGCACGTAAATCTGTTAAAACACCTGGCATATGTTTTCTTGGATCTTCATACAAATATCGAGTTATTATGTAATCAAGAACCGCATCACCTAAAAATTCTAATCTCTGATAACAATTGTAATTTCTGCCTTTTTCATAATAAGAAGCATGAGTGAGAGCTTCTAATAAATACAATTTTTCTTTAAATGTATATCCAATTTTTTCTTCAAACTTCTTCATTTTCAACTTTTCAAATTCATAATGTTTTGGATGAATAGATAGTTTTCTTTCACCTTCTGTACCATCAATGGTTTCAATTTCCATTGGTAAATAATTTGAATTCAAAGATACACCATCAAATATTTTAAAGTTTAACCATGACATAAATTTTAAAGCTCCATGAAATCCACAATTCAATAGATAGACACCAATTAAAGCCTCTACAGAATCAGCTAAAGATTTATCAGATAAATTCTGATCTGTTATTCCAGTACTGATATTTTTAGTAGTATTCTCTTTCTTTTTAACAGTAAAACAAGGTGGTAACCAATTTCTTTTAAAGTCAAATTTCTGTCCAATGATACATTTTTCTAAATTTTTTGATTTTGATAATTGGTAAAGATTGTAGTTACTAACTATTAAAGCTTTTAATTGTGTCAATTTTCCTTCATCCAAGTTATATTTGAGATATAAGTTTACACTAACTGAATATTTTAAAAATGAATCACCAATAATTTCCAGCCTTTCTAGATTAAAATAATCTTGAGATCGAATTAAAGTAAAAGCAGCCAATATTTCCTCAGGGTTTGGACCACAATAATTACTTAAATCTTCTTGGTAATCCAGATTAATTTTTGATACTTCACATTTTCCAAGTTTGATTTTTTCTGTGCTTATCTGACTGTTTCTGTTATTAACAGCATTTTGTAAATTGGATAAATTTTCAGAACTCTTCTGATGATAATTATTATATTCAAAAGTTGGCCATTTAAAATCAGGTGGAAGTTCAGCCAAACCAATGTTAGCCTCTTTAGCAATTATAAAACGAAACTGATCAGCTTGAATATATGAGCTCAATCGATATAAAACCGAAGGAAGTGTTAAAATCTTTCTGAAAAAAGAATATGATAAAGGTATAATAATGCAAAGTTCAGGAACAAGATTGACAATTGTTTGTTTCTTCAGTTTTTCAATGCTACTTTTTTTCAGTGATTTGCCATATTGATCTGAATATCTAGAGGTTATTTTTGTACAAAATGTATTATTAATATAACCACAAGATAAAAGAAATTGATTTTCATTTTCAATTTCAACACTGTATTTATCATTAAAGTACTGTTTATAGTTCTTATATTCTTTGGATGGAAAACAAGATAATGGTGATTTCTGATGTAAAATTTCATTAACATAAAAAAAATGTTTTCTTCTGGTATCATTATACCAAGTATATATTACAGCATCATCATATGATTTTGAATTTATTACATTTTTATTCCTTTTAATCAATTCTTGTTTTTCTGTATTTACGTGACAACAAACTAGATTTATCAAGTTCCAGTCAATTCCATTAGAATTACATTCATCTGAAAAGACAAGTTAAAATATAATATCAGTACATACAAATATATATAATTTATTTAGAGTTCAGATATATTTGTGTACTCCATAGAAATTCTCTTCATAATGACATGAATTCTCTAAACACAATAAACAAACAAGACTACAGAAAAGATTTTTCTTTTAATAGTGTTGAAAATCATACTTCAGAAAGGAAGAATCTTAATTATTTCTTATTTATATTTATTCTGAATTTATCTTTATTATGTAGTTTTTTAAATGAATGGAATAAAAACAACAAATTTATTTATGACAAAAGCTACACAGGTAATATGAAACTGACATGTGCAATTCATATATCATACATCACATATTAATGATATGACTTATATTATTAGATTAAGCCATTGATCACGTGTCTGTATATCTGTAACAGTATGCCTAGAATGGCCACTAGGGAGTGTCCCTAGCTATTATTTAAATTAACAATAAACTCAGGTTTTTGTATAACAATATTAAAATAACAAAAAATGCAGTTTACTAGGGTATGCCATGAGAATGCACATTAAGAAGGGATTTTTTAAAATTCCCCCATGGGTGAGAGGGTCAAGGATTACCCTGAAGAACTCAGATTCTACTGTACTATTTTAGATGCGGTTTTTGCATTTTTGACTGTGTTTTAGTAGGGTATGCCAAGAGAAATTCAGTATATTANTTTTCTGTGAGGCATTATGCTTTTCTGTGAGGATGAACTAAAGCAGATCATCATCTATCTATATAAATAAAAATGTAATGTTCGTTTGTTCCTACCAATTCCTTTGAAATTTTGACACAATGCTGCATTCGAATGCGCATGTGTTTTATATATTGATATACATGTCAAAATTTCCCGCACTGGGGGGAGATGGACAGGATTAAGGCTTACAGTAAAGAACTCTGCTTCTATTTATACTATTTTAGATGCAGTTTTTTGCGTTTTTGGCTGCATTTTAGTAGGGGTATGCCAAGAGAAATTCAGTATATTATTATTTTTATTTGTAATATAAATTTATTATTTATATCATAGAATGACACCGCTGCTGCTAGAATGCCCTTCCTGTTGGGGTAAACCTAACTCCCCCCCACAAGGAAGGAAATAAATTCTCCGAGGGGGATTCCCCCATAGGAAGGGGAAAAATTTAAAGATAATCTATAAGGACATGGTTCTCCTCCCCGTGGGGAGGGGAATTCTCTCCCATGGGATATGAATTTATTATTTATTATTCTCTCCCATTGATATGAATTTATTATTTATACCATGGAATGACACTGCTGCTGCAAGAACGCCCACTAGGGGGTGGCCTGGGCTACTAGTTCATTATAATTTATACAGCTGAAAAATTATATTGTTTTCTCTGTGTTCTTAACAGAGAAGTAAAGATTTGTTCAGTATATTTGTATCAAGAATTAAAATTATTAGACATTCATGAAGATAAAAAGTGTATAGTGAAGATTTTCTTCTCATACAATTATGTATAAATAATAATATAAATTTGTTATCAGTTCAAATTATGATCATCATTAGATATTTTGATTTTCCTTTAACTGATTATTAATATTANCTTCGGGTCAAACGGACGGTGTACCGGTTTGGCTTACCTTAAACAAAGGCCATTGTCTGATATAGGCACAATATGGCGAACGATCGCCACAACTCAAGTCTTTCTCAAATTGTTCTCCCAATGTCATTCATTCGGCTAATCTGACTTCTAGGCAACATGCCTCATCATTCAACCAAACTCATGACAATATTAGCCATCAATATCAACTGTCAACTTACACTCAATGGCAATGCCAACATTTACACAAAATACTTAATCTGATTATAGAAAAAAAAAAATGTTTGCAATGTTCAGACTATGTAACTTATCAAATTTTGTGAAAATATAAAAAATTCCAGTAATCTGGGATCACCCTGGTCCTTTAGATGTCAAATTAACAAACTTCTATTGTATTTCAAAAACTTTTTAATTTCAAAACTAAAGTTGGGTTTATAAAATGATTCATTGCCAGTCTATTCTGCAAATATATAACTCAGAACAAATTAGCTAAGAAAATATTATATCTATACTAATATTATAAAGAGGTAATGTTTGTATGTATGTTAGTTTGTATGCAGCAGGTAATCTCCGAAACTACTCATCCGATTTCAAAAATTATTTCACCAATATTTAGAATGGAACTTCAGGGTGGACATAGGGTGTATATTATTCCGTTAAACATGGGAGATGGACAGTTCTTTACGGTAAGCCTTATGGGGAAGGCTTACCATAAAGAACTCTGCTTCTATTTATACTATTTTAGATGCGGGTTTTTGCGTTTTTGATTGCGTTTTAATAGGGTACGTCAAGAGAATGTACACTAAGAAAAAATTTTTCCCCACGGGGGAAGTGTTATACATTTATAATAGATACATTTTGAGCCACAATAAGGCGTGGCGGGGTCTGCTAGTTAGATATAAAATTGCTTGTTATATAATATTTTAGGTTACAGGGTGTCCAACAATTTCCATTTTTCCTGAGATTTCCAAGTTTTCCAGGATGAAAACCTGCATTTTTCCCTAACTAACTGAAAACAACCCACTGCATAAATTAAAAACAGTTCACAATTTATTTTATGTTACCAAATAAAACTCACAGTTATAAGACTATTCAATTCCCCTTGAAAAAAAAAAAAAAATCATATTTTGTAATAGTTTGATTAATCAATTTGTGTATTGTTACTTCATGTGCAGAAGATTCTATATCACATACAGGTTCAAAATGACAATTTTATTAAAATAAGGAAATTCAAATTGACACTATCAACCTTATAATGTAAACCAAATACAATTTTTCCAAATTGTGATATTTACTCACTGTGAATTGCATAAAATAATCATACTCTTTATTAGTTATAGAATAAAATAAACCTTTTTGCATTTCTTCCAAATGTGTATTAATGTCCTCAATCTCTATTAGCTTCTGCAAGAATCATAATCTTTTTTTTTTTTTTTAACTCTCACCATTTCTGCAGCCATCAACTTCTCACTCCACTCTTTCTCTTGCCTTATATCTTCCTATTTATGAGCTACCATAGCTTCCGTGCATCTCTGGGTTGCAATTCAAGTTGCATGGATAAACTATTTTGACATATCCAATTTCCCCAATCCATTAGCTGACATGAATACATTGTGTAATTTCCTGTGCTACAAATATCTCTTCTTTTTGGTTTTCCATTAACCATACTTTGTTGGTGGAAAATCCACATTCCATATGAGAATTACCATGGAACATCATTAAAATCATTTTCACAATTCTTTTACTTCATCATAATGACAATCATTTATCCAGTTATTAGCCATGAGTTTCTAATGTAATATCTAGCAGTTTTTGTGCTTTCTCTCTACTCCTTGTATAAGCTGGATTTAGGCATAACAGTCCCTTGGTCAATTTGTATTTCAGTGGCAACTTTTTCAACAATTTGGTGGTTAAAACTCAAGCAATTTGCAGTCTTTTCAAATTTCTAATATCACTCTGTCAGTTACTCCCTTCCTTCTAACATTTCTAATTTTCCAGTCTTTAGTGACATATCCAAGATCTGCTGTATGTACTGTACACAGACGCACATCAGTAATGGAACTCAGAATGTTTTAATTTACTATTTGAAATCTACAATCACAGGGTCAGAACAGACTTTAATTAAAGAAATAGTTAAAAAGGTGATAGGTGTCAAGAAATTATTTACTAAGAAGTGACCATTAATTTCATATTCCTATTAAAAGAAATAAAAGAAAAGTATTCATCAAAAAACATCTCCCATCTCTGCATTAAATGAAGTTTTATTTAATTTTTTTCAACAGATTAATGAGAAAAATAAAAATTTTTTATATTACTTATTTCTAAAAACAGACTAAAATTTCCTTATAATAATTTTCTAACCAATACTTTCAAAATAAATTCAAAACATAACTCTTTATGAAATACTATATAAAACAATCTTAATATGGAAAAAATTTTAATTACCATTTTTTATAATTGGAACAATATATAGAGAGAACTCGGCTGTTTTTGGATCAAACTGAAATCTTTTAGTATCTATTTGAAGAATTTCTGTAAATATATATTGATGAAATACTTGGATAGCACATAACTGATCATTACTGAATTTCATACAAGTTTTTACAGATTCAATATTTATATCAATTTTCAGTGCAGTTTTTGCTGTGAAAACTGGAAATCCAAAAAACTGAAAATAAATAAAAAATTAGTATAATAAAATTACAGCAAAATTTATTTGTGTTTTTTTGTAATAAGTTAGATTACACAATAAAATACATGAAACTTATTCTAATTCTTATAACTAAATAAATGTGATTAGTAAAAGGCAAATTATAGAAAAGGAAAATATTGTAAAGGATAGAGACAAAAGGAACAGAAGTTCTTCATTGTTTGATTGACAAGAAACAGTACCTGAAAGAAGGTTGACTTCCCTTCCCCATTTTTTTTTGTTTTGGTAGACTCCATTTGGCAGCTCCAACCTTTCATCATTAGACAAAAATGTCCTTTAGTTATAAGCATAAATTTTGCTAGAGAGGACAAACCACACAAGGAGCATACCAGTAATTGACTATTTCAACTTTATTACACCAGGAAATGCATTTCAAACCTTCTGCCCCTCCTCAATCCTTTATTACAGATCTTTGTCTATTTCTTAGTTACATTAGGCTATGGTTACTATGGATGCGAATTCTGATGAAATTTTGTTCTGACGAGTACATCCGAAATCCTCATCAGAACAAGGTGGTTACACTGTGAGCATTTTCTGATAGTCAGTACATTTCTGCCTCCCAGCAAAATGGACAAACTTGAGTTTTATTTTCTTGAAAATCCGTTGATTAATTAATTAATTAAGTTATTGTTGATAGGTGGTGGGAAAACAGAGCATGTTAACCACTTATTTTCCACAAGAGACGATAAGGGAGAGGTTCCAAATGTTATATCAAGATTTGTGTGAACAACCCACAAAAGTTTTTCGAGTATTTCAGTATGAGAGCTACCTCTGCTGAGAAATATCTTTGTTTAATAGTTTTTGTCTTTCATGTCCCACAAACACTTATTACGGAACACAATACTAATCAATTTATCAATATCCATGTTGAAAAACCAAAACACTTGAAATTCAACGTCAGAACGCATGAACAAATCAAACTCGTTTGAACGCTCAAATGGTTCTGACTACATCGTGCGTGTTCTGACATGCCCTTCACTGCCAAAGTAAACACTCTCATTGGAAAACATGTATTTGTTTGTTAGGACGAATTCGTCAGAACAAAATTTCGTCAGAATTCACATCCATAGTAACCGTAGCCTTAGTGACCACTAGATGAAAGAAATAGTCAAAGATCTGTAATAAAGGATTGAGAAGGGGCAGAAAGTTTGAAATGCATTTCCTGGTGTAATAAAGTTGAAACAGTCAATTACTGTTATGCTCCTTGTGTGGTTTGTCATCTCCGGCAAAATTTATACTTATATCTAAAGGATCTGTCAAGAGAATGAGTAGCATAAACAAAAATGTCCTCACATATGCCAATAAATCATTAATCCTCAGTTCTGATAAATTGTGACAACACTGTTTGGACAATCATGAGACAAACATTTTGGTCCAGGTGCTTGAAAACTACCTTCCTGTCAAACACAACCTTGGAATTTGTTTGAACTTGCAAATATCCACTTTATTCACTGCTCTTAAATTCAGATCTTCCAAGAAAACACATGGTTACAAGAGTTCTCTCTCTCTTTTTTTTTTCTCAACACCTTCCCTTCTGCTCTCATACCATCACTCTTCCTTTGTCCCCACTTGAAGCACAAATCTTTTTAAAATTTCTGCAGTCCTCAACAGATCTCTATATCTGTCTAACCAGTTCTCCCCAAAAGTTAAGAGTCTAATCTAAGAAAGGGTTGGATATGGGGAAAGAATGATAGAAAAAGAAAACATGTGATAGAGAACTGTTTTAGGATAATAAAAAAGAAAGGACAGCAAAACATGAAAAAGGAGAAAAGTAAGAATAAGAAAAGAACCTTTTCAAACTAAATAAGCTAAACATGAAGCAGCCACAAACTAAACTATTGCTGTGCCATATGAAATAACACATTATTACAGTTAGAAAAATATGACAAAGTGAAAAGAGATGTACATATACTGAACAAGAAATATGAGAAAATAGAATGTGCTCTTTGATAATATCTGAGTTACTTTATAAATTGCAATTTTGTGTCCTAATCAATTTCAGTTATGTGCAAAATGAATGTAGAGATGCATAAAAGCAAAACTCATAATCTCTACAATGAATGAAAATAAAACTTGTTTTTTGTTGTGGTGAATGATAAAGTTTGCTGTTTAATTTATGCCTTTTTGTCATTACCCAAAAAAGTAACTTGAATCATCAATTACCATGCAGTAAAATATAATTGTTTTGTGGCATAATTATATAAAAAAGAATAAAAATGTGATGGTAGATCAGTGTGTTTGACACATAAAAGCCAATCACAACCCATTATAGTCTGATTTATTTCAAGACACTAACTTTTATATTTGAAATGAAAATTTTGAAACTGAATGAAAAATATCACAATAGAGAATTTTAAATTGAAATTCTGTTACAAAAATTGACAGAAAACTTTTTATTTATTTATTACATTTAAGCTTCCAAATAAATAGGTTACCAGATTTTTAAGCTCTCAGAAAAATTAAATCTATACTAATATTATAAAGAGGTAATGTTTGTAAGTAAGTAAGTAAGTTTGGATGTAGTGGGTAATCTCTGAAACTACTCATCCGATTTCAAAAATTCTTTCACCAATATTTAGAATGGAACTTCAGGGTGGACATAGGCTGTATATTATTCCGTAAACATTCATATAAATTAAAACATATCATCTAGGGCTAAGGCTTCTATGTTCAACAGATGGGAGTACGACGCCTAAGTTTGCTTTTCTGTGAGGCTACGAGTACGACGCCCTAATTTTGCTTTTCTGTGAGGCATTATGCTTTTCTGTGAGGATGAACTAAAGCAGATCATCATCTATCTATATAAATAAAAATGTAATGTTCGTTTGTTCCTACCAATTCCTTTGAAATTTTGACACAATGCTGCATTCGAATGCGCATGTGTTTTTATATAATATACATGTCAAAATTTCCCGCACTGGGGGGGGGAGAGATGGACAGGATTAAGGCTTACTGTAAAGAACTCTGCTTCTATTTATACTATTTTAAATGTGGTTTTTTGCGTTTTTGATTGCATTTTAATAGGGTACGTCAAGAGAATGTACACTATGAAGGGATTTTTCGAAAAATTCCCCCCACGGGGGAAGTGTTATACATTTATAACAGATATATTTTGAGCCACAACAACGCGTGACGGGGTCAGCTAGTTTTATTATAAAAGTAACAACGGAATAAAGTTGAAGTTTAATAAATTTTATAGCTGTACTTATTTAATTCCCTGTAGAAAAGAATTAAATTTCGTTTATATTGGAAACTGCCCTCATTTAGCAACTTTCTTATCCCTGGCAAACTGCACGTATTAGTTAAACTTTTCTAAAAAGCAAATAACTTTTTTCTACGGGAAATAAAATTTTTCTGGACAGAACGGCCAAATGGATAAAACATCATTTTCATTCAGTCGGGCGCGCGACATTTACCAATGCGGCAAATGTTCGGGATTAGCCAAATCTACCCGAATGTTCGCAGTTTTCCCACTCGAACGCATCGAAGCGGACAAATATTCGTCCCGGCTACGTACAGAACATTGGACGAATAGGCGCCAATATGTTGTTTGGCAACAGCGCGTCTATAACAACTTCGGGCTTTAAACTCGATCGATCGTTGTCCGAGATTGCCGGATCCCTAAAAAGGTAGACCGACATATACGGGTATACCTCGACTTACGTCGTTTGTCAAAAAAGTAGACGGAAAAATAAAAATCAAGTTTAAGTCATTTTATTCGACTTTACGTCCGTCCGCTACAAATATCCGAGTCGTAATATCACCAGAAAAACGTTTAAAGCGCATAAAATCCTATTAAAATATTGTCGCGGGAACAAACGGCAATCAGTCGTTAGAAACACAAAGGAATTTATTAACTCAGACAATGTACAACTGCAGCTTGCAGTAGGAGAACAAGGAGCCCTCTCAGCCTGACAGCTGGCTGTTATATCCTACAGAGACGTGGTAATTGGTTGGTATTTACATAAGTTCTCAGACCGGGAGAACTTACCCACACAAAAAAAAACTTGCATCAGTGAGGGTTGAACCGGCGACCTCTGCTCGATAGGCCGAGCCGCTAACCTCTACCCCACGAATGACACGGTGGGAAGAGCAAGCCGCGGCAATATATACAAGTATGTACTGTATTTACAGCGCACGCATTGGTAAATTTAGATTAATTTTTTCTGTACTCTATTAAAAACTAAAATTTATTTGTAAGCTTAAAATAGATCCTTATTAACCATATATTATTAAAAATGCACTAATAAATAAAATGCAGAACCGGGAATGGTAATTTACGGTTTAGCCTAGCGACGAGTAGATTCGACTTAGGTCGCCTCTCCCGGAACCAATTACCGACGTAAGGCCAGGTATACCTGTATTAGTAATTAAGATGCCAGGGTGGTAAACAACGTAAGGTGACCGTAAAATTCTTCTCTATTTTCATTTGCGATATTTTAACGTTGCCAAATGACGGAAGAGCCAAGAAAATTTTAAAGGGAACGAAAACTCGGATTTATTCTCTTAAGCCAGCCATTATCGAATGGAAGTCGAAAGTTCTTTCGCCATTCTTTCCACTCGCGCTTTGGCCTCCACGTAACTACGCATGGAAAGAGAATTGGCCAGTTTTTCTCCGTCCGAAAATCTCTGGCGTAAATAGAGTTTCTCCTCTCTGTATTCTGGTCGTTCCTCCGAATAAGCCTGAAATTAAAGTCGGTTCAGTCGATTTACAGGACACGGAATTGCCGTTTATCGAATCGTTTACTTTTCGGTCCCTCCTCCATCCCACCACCGTAACGTAGATGGAATGCAACAATAGAAATGGCCAAACGAAGAAGAAGAGCAGGTTCAGCGCCGACTCCGCTTGGTAGCTTATCGTTCGAACCCGTTCTCTCCTGAAAATAAAACACGATGTTACACTTTTATATCATCGTCGAAAGTAAGAAGAAGCGACGTTTTACGTGTCCGGGTGAACGGGATGTCCGTCTTCGAACACTACTCTGGCTTCCCTTAGCTCCGGTTCCCAGTAACGGGCGATCTTCCTCCTGCCAAATAGACAGCTCTTTATGCCGAAGTGTCCGGCTGCCGGCCACAGGGTCAGCCTAACAATTTCCTTGGCTAATCCTGAAAAGACAGAGGAGAAGAGAAGAACTAGGGGAAAAGAGTTACAAAAACTAAAACTAACTTACCTAGAACCAGGAAGACGACGATTACCGCCGACGCCATTCTCAGTCTAATAGCGAAGTGGGGCGTCGGACGACCAGCCGTCACCGGAAGCGAACCCCGAAAACCGGAAGAAGCGAACGCTTTCTGGGAGATGGAACGACACCGAAAGCCGTCGTCACCGCACTGAAGAGAAAAAGCCAATAAAAAAGCAGCCGAAGAGCCACCGAAAGGCGGGAGAAAACGAAAAACTCACCGAACATCGACAATACTGATAGCAAGAACAGTAACGTCCTCTTCGGAAGAGCGCTTCTCTGGAGGCCACCGTCCGTCCACTTCGGACCGACCTCACTTCCACTAGGAAAAGATTGGTCATGGAATCTTTTTGGTCGGTTTCGAAACTGCGACCGAAGGGACTTACCCGAACAAGAGAATTCCGAGATCCGGGCCGAGTCGAGAGAAAGGTCCAGGACGACGCTTCTGGAGGATTGGGGAGAGACCGAGACGCTGGAGGTACGGGACGAACAGTCAGTCGCGGATACGGAGAAAGAGGCCGGAGCCAGACCCGTGTTGGTGACCAGCGCGACGATAATCGGCACTCTTCCAAAGTATTTGGTGACGACGAACGATATTTGGGCCCGACGGCTAAAGGAGCAACGGTCAGCCATGCAGAAAATCCTAAAGAAAAACCGGCAAGAGAACTCACCCCGGAGACAGGACGCTGACGTTGGCGGCGTTCATCTCTAGACGCAGACGAGCGGAAGAATTTCCAGACATTTCCAGGGCCAACCAGTGACGTCGGCGGGCTCCGTCCACCAGGAGGGGCCGGCGCGAAGGTTGGGCGTAGAAGCGCAGAAGATAATCGCCCTTCAGTCCGGCGCGCAGTTTGGCCTGCGGAATTTCCGTCGGTACCATAGAATTTGCGGTGGTTGGAAAGATAAGCGAAAATACTCACCCTGTCTCGAGTCCACAGGTCCAACGGTTGATTCTTCAGACATCTAATGGGAAAGAAGAGGTTAGAAAGGATAAATTAGAATAAAGCGTAAGAAGAGAGAGACACTCGCGATCCTCGGGCTTTCAGGCATTTGTTCTTCTGCCGGTAGAAGGCTTCGTACGAAACGCCAATTTTGTCGCAGGAGGTTCCCGATTCGTCTAGAGAGGATTCGGGCACCAGCAAATAGTCGTCGGCACCATCCTGCAACGACCGTGGGAAAAATCATTTGAATTCGGACACGATAAGATAAATACCTGAAAAAGATACCTGGAAAAGCGGAGGTATATCTTCTGCGCCCAGTTCGGGGCTGGGAGCGGGTATCAGCAATCGACGGTTATCGAGGCGGAGCGCGTCTTCTGGCGGGGAGGGAGGAAAATATTCGACGGTCAACTGAAAACGGGAATTTTGTTAAGGAAGAAAGACGAGAAGAATGAAGAAAGAGGAGGATTACCGATTTCTCCTTTCTCCGAGTGGTTCGGCTTCCCACTGACAGTTGTCCGTCGATCACTCTCCTCCAGACGGTGGAACCCGCGGACGTCTCCGTTCTGGCGTAAATATCGAGATAGACGGCTCTACGAATTTCCGGTTGGCCTAGAGACGTCACTAAATACCTGAATCGAATTATGCCACCTATTTACTTCCATACGCTTCATTTATTTAAAATTATTGTAGTTTAATATTTTTAAATGATATTTTCAAAGGATTAATAGCTATTTTAGGTAAGGGTGCCTTTCTTTTTTTATATTATTATCGCGCCATTTGCTTCTTCGAAATGCGCTTTTGTTACCAGAATATGGACGCGTGCGTCCGATTATCCGGCGTTACGGACGTGGAGGAAACCCGGAAAACTCCACCTGGCCAGGCGCGAATCCACCACCGAAGTGCCAGTGTTGGGGAACGAAGACCGCTCGGCCACTGTCGGGTCCCTTTTGGATCTCTTGGCTTTACTTAACGACTGTCATCCAGTTTCGGCGCTAGCGGAGTCTTACCTGGCCACGCTACTAGCTCTAAAGTAGGATGCGGCGGTTATTAGGTGAAACAAAAAAAACGAATTTTCTTAAAACGACCTTAAGCGGAGAAATAAAATTGAACGGGATAATTTGGATAAGAATGTCTGTTAAAGCCGAATGTTAGCTTGTGTAAAGTACATCGGGCGGCAAATTCTTTCAAATGGCATTCTACACCAAATCTTTTCTAAAGTTGGCTTCCCGGCGCCTCCTTTCCTTTTCTTCGTCTCTTGGCTGACAAATCGACGCTTTTCTTGGATGTCTTTACTCCGGAATACGCAAAGTATATCCCGCCGGTCCGCTTCTTCGCATAAATGGTAACCACGTATTGGAGATTAAGCAATCTTTCTGCTATTTGTTTAGTTTTTACAAGGGCCTGGTGACCGACACCGAGTGTATTTCTTGGCCATCTCTTTTGGAATACATTAAAGTTTCCGCCAATAGCTGCGCTAATCTACCGCATCGCTTAGCTTTCTTATTCTATCCACTATCCGGCCATAATTTTTTTTTTTTAACTCTTTCCACCCCGCGGACACTAGGAGAGTCTCTTTTAGCGGGCTCGTTACGGGTTCGGCCGGGCCCACGATAATATACATTATACAATATGGGTTCGGCGGCCGGGTGGGGAGGGACGGTATCCGGACGGACCACCCCCGANTGTTGTCATCATTTCTGGTAGTAGCATGATTTCACATTCATAAAAGTTTTGATTGTTGCTTACAAAAAACTGATCCAAGTGATTTTTGACATTGTCATTTCACGTAAATGTCTTACAGTTAAAAAAAATTTGTATAGACCGGAACAAGTAATAATCTGAGTGTGCTCAATCTGGCGAATATGGTTGGTGTGATAGCAGGTCCCATCTAAGTTATAACAGTTTCTGACCAGTTACCAAACTTGTGTGAAATTTGATATTATCATGGTAAAACACTATACCTGTTTTGTTGATCAATTCTGGCCACCTTTTCTGTTTGATGATATTACTCAATTTGTTTACTCTATGGCAGTACACTTTTGAACCAATTGTTAAATTGTCTGGTAAAAGCTAAAAAAAATTACCTTAAAATCCCACCAGAGAGCATCTCTCTTTAAGAATATCTGGAACCCATATATCAAGCTTTGAAATGAAACCAATTTGTTTCAAATAATCATAAACAGTTCAATTTGACAAATTTAATCTCTTAGTAATTTCATGTGTTGTTATTTGGCAGTTTGCTTCAATCAGTACCTTTATTTTGTTTTCATTGGCTTCAACTAGCCATCCAGAATGTGGTGCATCTTCAATATTGAAATTGCCAGAACGAAATTTTGTAAACCAGTTTTGGCACTGTCGTTCTGTCAATACATCTTCTCCATACACGTCACACAATTTTTTTCTCGCTTGAACAGCATTCTTACTTTTTCAGTAATAAAAGAGCAAAATATGCCGAAAATGCTGCTTTCGATCTTACATATTTAATAGGACACAAAAAATAAACAATTGCACAAAATCAAACAAAATTTTTTACAAATAAGCCTTAAAATGCTAGCTGTCAAAATATATAATGATAATACAGTTTAAAATGAAAATGGCAGGAAAAGTACGACTAATCTGTCTAGTGGTAAAAAAAAAACAAAATTACTTTCCGAACAACCCAATAAAATTTGTTAATTTAAATATATTTCACTATTAAAATCAGCAAAATCTCAATAGATAGGTGACACTCAAATAAAGTAAAATCAATTAACCATGATAAAATCTGTTCAAATTGAGTTAATAGGTTTAACATGCTATAATACTTGAAATGATACTGTCACTTAATATGTTTTGCTTCCAGTTCCTTACTTATATTTTAAATCTAATGTGCACTTCATTTCTCAACTTCTCAAAAAGTTGAAAAAGGTGCACATTAAAATAGAATAAATACTGTACAATAATATCTTTACAAGAGAGACTCTTAATGACATTTTTCAAAAATAATGACAAAGGGAAAAATTTACTTTTAGTTAAAATAGTGACCAGTTCTAAAGTCTGCAATCATAAATTGCAAGCATTGCTGAAGTATAGATGGAAGAAGTAGACTGAGAATAGATCTCTTTTTGCTCTGGTATATCAATATTATAAATTCACTATGCATTCTGATATAAGATATTAATATATACCGTCTTTAGTGGACTCAAAGTAATGTGTGAGGCCCCAGAAATAGCCCCCCCAAAAAGAAAGACATGTAAAAATTTGTTAAGTTCAATCGTCAAGAAAACAAATTATATAAGTGTCAAATCGGCGACACCGGACTTTGACGTCAACGCTCATAAAGAGTAGAGGGAAAAACAAAATTTTAGATTTAGAAAAAGAAAATTTAAAAAGTTAAGATGCAGTTTAGAAAGCAAAATGAAACTAGAAAAAATATCAAAATGAGTGTAGGTGTCATAGTCAACAATTAAACACAATCAGAGTCTAAAAGATGGTGTCAGATAAACCATCTCCAGCTGACCTTTCCCGCAAACTTTACAAAGCTCCATTTACACCTGGAGACAATTAGAAAACGATGATGTAAGGTCTGTCCAATTAGCAAAAAGCTGATCTCGAAAAACTTATAAAAACACCAATTCCAAGGACAATGAGATTTCCACTAGACTTCTGTTGTGTTCATGTATCTCTGTTTTTTTGTACCTCTGTTCATCTTTTGTGTACTGTCTCTCAAAACTTCGAACATTTTTCTCAACACTGTCCAAGGGCCCCTACGACACTGGACCAGATCGCCGCCAAAAACCCCTTTGAAACAGGACCAGATCGCCACCAAAAACTCCTACGACACAGGACCTGATCACAACCAAAATTCCTACAACACAGGACCAGATCGGATCCGAAGACATCTTAAAGTTCGGAATCTAAGGACCTTCCCTACGAAAAAATTTATGTAAACATTTTTGATCAAGAATAAACAGTTTGCCTCTGTAAAACACTTGTCTTTTGCTGCCTCTCAAAACCACCACCCACATACGCTTAGACCTTAGACCATCCCGATGGTAGGGAATAAAATTCCTCCCTAATCGGCGTTCTTACAAATGAAATGTAGTAAAAATTTCAATAGCATAAAAGTAACTGCTAAGTTAAAGTAACAAAATATTATACTAAGTATAAATTGGGGTGTTGATGCTGGACAAAATTAATTAGCCTAAAATCATTTCTAAAAAAATGCTTATTTTATAATAAATGATACTGTCTGATTTAAAATCAGGCTTATAGTTCAACTACTTAATTGTAAAGATATTACATAATTTGGACTAAATGCAGATGGTTAAGCTGCCAGCTTGTGTTAAATTTCACAACTATAAATAAATTTATAATATAATGTTAGAAAAGATCAGTCTAAAGCAGGACACAAACCAGCAACTCCAGCTTACAGTACAGATCATTGCCAATTATGTTAGCCAAATCTCTAGCCAATCTTTGTTTCCAGACAAATTAATTTTCAAGATATGACTCACTATTAAGTATTTATATGAAATTATAAATACTTTGGTTACTTAACTTAGTAGTTACTTTCATAATATTAAAAATATTTATAATTAATAAAACAGAAGTAAATCAGAATTATAAATGTTGAATTGTAAGATTTAAATCATTAATTTATCTTAAAATAATTGCTATTAACTGTTGGAAATTGTTTTGTTGTTAAAATTCCATATTCACTTGTTCCGTTTTCAACATTTTCAGCATCTCGTAATATTCCCAAGTTATTAACTGAAGAAAATTTCATATGAACAGTATATAGAAAACAAGTATCGTGCTCTGTAGGTAAACTTTTTTGTAGAAGATCTGGAATCTGAAATAAAAATAAATAATTTTAACGAAGCATTTATACAGTCGAACCTCCGAACAACGGACACTGACTGAATCTGTTTTTTTTTTAATGGCCGTTGTTTACAGGTTATTTTGTATTCCTTTTTTTTGTTTCTGAGAAAATAACAACCGTTTACAGGTGGCCTTTTTTAAGAGGTGGCCGTTATTGGAGGTTCAACAGAACATAAGTTTAAAAAAAAAAAAAAAAAAGTTAATCGTAATTACGCTAAACTGTTTAATTTTAATTACTGTTTNAATATTTAGAATGGAACTTCAGGGTGGACATAGGGTGTATATTATTCCGTTAAATACATTTATAATAGATACATTTTGAGCCACAACAACGCGTGGCAGAGTCTGTTAGTATAGTGTATACATGGTGAATAATTAACATTTATATGGTAAATATATATCATATATATCTAAGGAGTTTATAAGCAAGGAATTAGATTTGAATTTAAATAATTGTCTTAAAAAATAGTCCTCATTTAGCAGTGGCGTGCCGTCCATGGAAGCTGTGGAAGCACTGCTTCCCTTGTATTTTCTAAAATATAAAAATAATCACACAATATGTATTTATATTTTAACATACTTTGAATTAATTAAAATTAAGATACATAATGTAGTTATAATAAAATATTATTACAAATTTCTATACTGTATGTGAAAAATTGATAAAATTGCTATTGTACAGTTGACCCCCTATAACGTTGTTTCNCTTTAGAACAGGTGTGGCCAAACTATTATCCCTTAGGGGTTACTTTTTTGGTAAAATGTAGTCTGCGGGCGACTATGAATATGGGCAAACAATTTTAAAATTTTTATATGCGCATGCATTAACATTCATTTGCATTGTTCATCGGGATAAATACAAACAGTATGGGTACGTTGCAAAGACAGTCTATTATTGTAAGAATAGATTATCAAATTAAGATTTTTAAACATTAATTTAAATGAAAGCAAATTGTTCAACTTTAGCTTCGCGGGCTACTTTCAAAACCTTTGCAGTCGACTGGTCGACCACGGTCTACGTGTTGGCCATCCCTGCTTTAGAACAAAAGACTACAGGTCAGAAACCCTGGCAGTGGAATTAGCCCAATTTCAACATGATCCATTAAAGAATATAAATATGCATTTAAACTAGGGGTCCCCAAACTTTTTATCCCGTCGACCCCTTTATAGAATATTTGCCTTCTTATTGACCCCCAGATTATGTATTTAACAAAAACATCAAATCATTTTTGCATTTCTGATGTTCAGCGATAAGGAGACCTGCATAACAACCCACAAAAGAATTTATAGTTCCCATCTATATATATAATCGAAATGAATTGATAATGATGATAATAATATCTCTCCCATGGTCACCACCTGGTCGTGGTAGGAGAGCCCAGTAATTTTACTGAACCATACAGCAATGCAGGCTGGAGCACAAGCTCCTGGCAGGGACACCCATGCCAGTAAGGTCTATGGGGAGAAATGAAGCTAAGAGTGACCACACACTCACATTCTGTGGAGATATTTATTATGCTAGTAACCAGATCTAAGTATGATACCTCAAATAAAGT